TAGAAGTGTAGTTAGTGGAGAATATAATTATTCAAAGAGTTGTCTTTTTTGTTTTTGTCTGGGCATGTGGAAGGGCCGGGCCGGGGGGGGGGGGGGAAACGTTAGGAAACAAAACTTCAAGACCACGGCCACACAGCCCGGAAGACCCACACTGACCATCACCCAATTTTATTTTATTCAACAAAATCTGAGTTAAATAAGCTGTGGAGCAACTCACAATTATGGATCAGATCTTGCTTTCTGAACAAATCTTGCATTTCAAACAGGCTCCAAAGCCCATTTTCTGGCATCTATTTTAGAATTATCTCCCTCATTATTTCAAGTAGAGGGGAGACTGAGAGCTTTCACTGATATCAATGGGAAAGATTTAAATTCATCCCTGGAGAGAAATGGACATTAAAAGTGATGAAGATATGAACTGAATCCAGGGAATTGTTTATTTTATGTAATTTGCATCTCCCCATTCCCCAGCCTAACACTTTAACCACTAAACCACACTTCCCATACTAGTAATTTGGATTTTGCTTATTTAGTATCACAAGAGTATAATTTTGTTTTCCTTGTGTCCACAAAAGTTTTGAATTTACAGCAAGTTTCATTCATTAAAATGAAAATAATAGATAAGATTGTGAGTGTTCTTTTCTCTGTAATAACGCAAGATTTCTAGGGTTTCTTTAATAACATTTTTATTAAGTGGAAATAACATTAAATAGGCAGTCCAAAGCAATCTTTTGCTCCCTTTCTCAATGAAGCTGTTTCTCACTATATACCAGGATGGGCAGAAAGCAACTTTGAATTTATTGGTAAATCTCTGAGGGGTTTTTTTGCAGCAGATTGGCTAAATTCCTTATGATTTTTAAAATTTTAAATATTTTTAAAATAATCAACAAATAATTCCTCTCCAGCTTAAAAGAAACTGTGTGCTTAAGCATTATAAGTTCCATTTCATTACAACAGCTGGATTCCATATTCATTTATTCTACACATCTATCTCTCCTGGCTCTAGGCTAGCTAGTTTTAAGGTGAGGGCTGGCCTTCGTGATGCCTTAAAAATAGTTATCATTCATGCTTGGAAAAACTGACTCTGTAGACCAAACTGTTTCAGATACTCCAGTGAATTCTGCATTACCGGCAACGCTATTCAGGAAAGGAAATGGATACGGTGTTTATCTCATCTGGATCTTTGCTATTTCGGTCTCCTTTTCAGCCGGCTGTGACAATGACACAAGTGAGTATTTACTTCCACTTTCAGTCACTAATGTACAGATTATATTGATGTTATTTTCCCCCAAACATAAAGCAGCTTTTTCTAAGGAACTTTCTACCAGCAGCAGCAGCAGCAGGATCTGAATCTAAGCGGCTTCTCCTTAAATGGCATGTATTTTACTAAAGAGTGCTGTTCAGGAAATTAGCAGCACGGCAAAAGGCAATGATATTTTATTTTAAATTCTGGAATTGGAAGAACCATAGTACAGGCATTGTTCTGTTTACCTTGAACACCCTCCTGCTTACAGCATTTTGATGCAAGCTTTTTATACATTTCTTGAACATAGGTAAGCTTAAAGTCAGTGGGGCAATGCAAACAAAAGAAATTACAGAAATAATAGCAGAGGAGACAGCTTGATGAGTTTTAGTGGTCAGGAGGCTGGACTAATTAAGAACAGTGCTAGACACAATGATTCACAGTACAGGTAGTCCTCGCTTAATGACTGTTCATTTGGCAACCGTTCAGTTACGACGGTCCTAAAAAAAGCGACTTATGACCGGTGCCCAAAGTTACAACCGTTGCTGCACCCCACGGTCACGTGATTGCAATCCAGATGCTTGGCAACCAGCTCACACTTACGACAGTTAAAGCATTCCAGGGTCACATGACTGCCATTTGAGACCTTCCAGTAAGCAAAATCAATGGGGAACCATGTGATTCACTTAACGCACATGGTGATTCGCTTAATGACTGCTACAAAAAAGGTTGTAAAATCAGGTCCCATCATATGATGATTCACTTAACAACCACATCGCTTAGCTACCTAAATTCCAGTCCCAAGTATGGTTGTTAAACGAAGACTACCTGTACTTACTGAGATACAGGCACTTAACAGAAGCCTTGAGGGTTAACCAGAAGAATTTTAAGGAAGATTTAACCTTAGCTGAACTCCATCTGAGAGACCTAAAATCTTTAGCACTGGGAGTGTGTCTTTGTGGGGGGCAATCCAGTAATGCTCGACATAACACTGGAAAAGCAGGGAGGGTAATTCATGGGCAGAGGAACAAGAAGGAAGAAACTATGGAGGTTGATCTGTCCTTTTCTAAAACCCAAGACAGCCATGAGTAAACCAAGGAAAATAAAGAGTTTTTTTCTTTTTAAAGGAACAGTAGCAAAATGTAAGAGAGTAAAAGATACAGGAATATAAAGTTCATAACAGTATACACTGGGACAGTCACAGGGAGTGTCAAAAAAGTCAAGATGGTGGCCTTCTTGTACAGAATTGCTAATTTAGTTCGTTGACTCCTCCTATACTTAAAACATATGGATTCTTTTCTCTTTCCCTTCCTCTAAGACAAGGCTGAAAGCAGCAGAAAATCTAACCTTTTTCTTTTCTCCCTTCCTCCCATTCAATATTGTAGAGCACTGGAGGCAGAGTGCCACTTAATTTTTCATGTTTAAAATTAATGGTCAAGTACCATTGTGTCAAAACTTAAATTAGACTGGAATCCATCTACGTCTGTCTGTACCCACATCTGCATCTTTCTATCTCCATCTCTATCTTCATCTTCACAATTGTCCTCCTAACAAATATTGTATTAATGCCTCTTTTATCAAACTAAAAATTACAGTTGGTTAACAAATTTTGGAGGTGTCTGGGCACCACATTCTAGTTCTGAAACCACCTGCAGTTTCAGGGCCTCTCATTCTGCACTTCTGCCTTACTTTTGTTACATGCCTCCTCTTATAAAAAATCCTACTGATCCAGCCCTTCTTTTGAAGCTGGGTTATTTTTCTCCATATTCATTCATTGCTTTTTGACAGATAAAGATAGGCATTGTGGTTTCCTGGCCAAATGCTGTATACTTCTGGCCTAAACAGTTTTGCATGCCTGAGATGGGAGGAAACTAAGCATTTGTTCCAATAGAAGAGACTCTCTGTAGCTCAGGGTTGAACTGTGGAGTCCTTGGTGCTCTCTGAGCTTGGTGGTTTGCCTGCATACGTTTCATTACCCAACTAGGTAACATCATCAGTGCTAGTGAGTGTGTACCCCAGTATTACCTAGCTGGGTAATGAAACGTCTGCAAGTAAACAACCAACCTCAGTAAGCCTTTGTTCTTCTCTTAACAGACGATAACAACTGCCTTCAAAAGACCATATCTGTGCAGGAAGGAGAAACCGTGGAAATACCCCTGAATCCCTCTGAAATGATCCAGGACGTGTGCATCTGGAGCAATTCAACTTCTCGATGGGAGAATGCGTGCCACTTTTCTAATGGAGTTTGCCGAACACTTCTTATTGATTTCAAGGAGGACATTTCCATCAAAGGAAACAAATTTGAACTAAAGAACGTGAGCTCCCAAGCCAGCAGGATTTACAAGCTTCTGGATAAGCCTGGAAATTGCATGATGTCAATGCGGGTCTCTGTATTAAGTAAGTTTGTGCAGGTGCTGTTTAAAGTGCAGACGTTGGGGTTGTGTCTGCCAAGTGGGTTTGGGCACACCGTGAACCAAGTTCATCCAATCCCCATTTTTGACAACCCCAGATTGCCCAGAAATCATGGCAAATAGCTGAGGAACAGCAGTCCAATTTCCTATTCTTCACTGTTAAGCATTTTTATAACAACTAAAAAATCTTCCCAAAAATGGGGTGCGTAATGACATGGAGGAAAACTAGGATTTCTAGCTCTGGCCCCATCAGTGATGACACCCCATCATGGAGTGTTTGTCCACCATCTTCCTTTATTTAAAGGGTATAGAGATGCCAAGAGGGTTTTAGCTTGGGAAGGCAGTGTGCCAATTTTAAGTACTTTATCCTGGAGAATCTTTCAGTTTGGATAGATGGTGAAGCATGAATAACGGTGTTGATAGAAGAGAAAGAATGGCTATTGAGGAAGGGGACAGTCTGGGAAACTAGGAAGAAATAGAATGGATGGGTTGGGTGAAGACAGCCATATCCACAGAAATCAAGCCAGTTGGGAGAACATGGCTTGTCCCAGGTGACCAAGAACAGTGGCCTCTATGACTGTTTTGCCTGCACCCAAGGACAGTCATACCTATGGGTGACACCATTTGGAAACAAGTTGGAGGCCAACATGAGAGAAGGAGACGCCAGCAGAAATGGGAGTAGGCAGCCTTAGCTAACAGACCAGGAGGAGGAGGAGAAGGAACCCCATAAAGAATTGGGTGAAAATTTGTGGCTGGGGTTGAACTGGGCCTGTTGGGCATGTGGAAGGATGTATCATGGGAATGCTAAGAGCTGGCATGAGTAGGAATTATTGATTTCTTGATTTATTAGATTTATATCCTGCCTTTTGTAGCAGGAGCTCAAGGCAGCATTTATAATGCTCCCTTCTATTTTTCCCCATAACAACCCTGGAAGGTAGGTTGGGCTGAAAGAGAAGGACTAGCCCAAAGTTCTCCAGGAAGTTTCTATGACTGATGGGGGGGGGGGGCTAGAACCTGAGTCACCCCCTTCCTAGGCCAGGACCTTCACCTCTCCACCACAATGGCTGTTGGACTGAGAAGGAGGGACTGACTACTGAACCTGGGTCTCCCTGGAGCCAATCCAACACCTTCACAGTACCCCCAACTGGCTCTCAAAGAATAAAGAATATAAAAAATGATAGTTAAATAGAAGAAGCTATCTAGCCACTGTTAATCAGTGATGAAATGTATAATAATATGGCCATATGAATTGTTAAGAAACTGTTATTCATGCCTGGAAGATTGGCATACGTCCTTTTTCCTCATCCTTTTGTTATTTTCTGACTTTGCATAATGTGTTCATGCATATATTTATATCTCCTATATTTTCTGCAGGTCTTAGGTTGAACATAATTTGCATAACCTGGCTTACTGCATTCTATTTTATTTCAGTCAAGGCTTCCTCCCCTCTATTCAGATTTAAATATATCTATTATTAAATAGATACAATGGATTTATTCAGGGACATCTGCAGGTTATGGTAAAAGGATGGTGTCCACCACAGTGCAATCAAAGCTCTGCCAGTGTTTTATGGGAATTGATGCACATAAAAAATAGGTGGAGCTTCATGTACCTTTGCGGCCACCATCTTGATTTTTTTTAACATACCCTGAGGACAGCCTTGGGTTTAGTATACCAAAAGGTGCAAGACTGAGGTAGGTTGTTTTTCTCAATGTTTTTCCAATCTCCCTGCTCATTTCTTCCAGGTGCAAAGCCTACCATTTCATCCTCACGATCGGGAGCCTTCAACATCCACTTGGAAAAATGGAGTAAGTGGAGGTGGGGGAAGCAAGAAAAGATGCTTGCATTCTTCTAGCATTTCTGCTATAGATTCTTAAATAGGAATGGAAGAAAAATTGGCTGTGTCTGCATTTTAATGACTTTAATGACTTGAGAGTCATTAGCACGTCCCAGATCTAAACATTGAGTGTACTGAACTACACTTTCCATCATCTCAAGATAACATGGACCAATGCTGAGTTGGAACCAGGGCATTGGGTTAGACCATATAGCTATAGGCCAGGGACCAGAAATCTTTTTAAGATAGGCTTGCCCAATTCTGTAACAGAGCCTGGGCACCAAAAATGTTTAAAATAAAATTGGCCAAGATCCTGGGGAATTCTGGGAGTTGAAGTCCATACTTCTGCAAGCCACCAAAGTTGAGGAACACTGCTATAGAGGATTGTATGGGTAATTTCAACTGAACTAGAATATTTTCTGCAACCTTCCTTCATGATATTGCTTCTTTTATGGGGCATTACTACAGTACGCACTGTTTATTTTATTTATTTTTCCCACCATTTCTTTCCTTACATGTGTGTTGGTCTTTGACAGTAAATCGGTAAGATAAAGTAAAGTTCACCCTTTGTGTTGCATATTTAGAAGTTCCTGCACAAAAATTCACCCTAGTTTCAAACAAGCAGAGGGTTGCTAAAGCCTAAAATGAAAGTGCCAAGTCAGAGTGGGAGGATTTCAGAATCTCTAGCATGACATCCTGCAGAATCAGTGGCACATGATGGTGAATCACTCTGTCTGGGCTATTCTGTCATTTCACGGAACTGAACTAGCAACTGTTTTTCTGGTGAGAAAAACAAGAATCCGCATTCATAAGTGGCTGAAAGGAGAACTCATCAGGAAGTTAGGAAAAGATGTAAAGAAGAAGGCACAGGCCAACAGGTCCTGATTCTTCCAAGCTCCTGGGAGGAAGGTGTAGAACTGCAGTGATCAGAGATGTCCACAGGGTGCGCTCCCAAAAGTCAAGATGGCAGCTGTGACAATGGGATTGAAGAACTGTGACACCCATAAAAATGGATGGGGCTTTGATTACCCTTTGTGGTCCCATAAAGTCAACATGTTGCAGATGCCATGTTGACTTTATGGGACCACACCCTGTGGACACCCCTGGCAGTGACAAAATTTACCAGCCCGTAGGGGGTGTATGGGGGTGTGTTTGTGGCTGCCTCCCTACCTGTTAAAATTCAGAATGGGGCGTGAAATCATCCTCACTCATCAGGCCTTTGGATGATCAGATTTCATAGGAAGGTTGATGTTGTATATTACTGGCTTGGTTTGTATTTTTTTAGTGTTTTAGCTTGTGATTTCATGGTTAATAAATCAGCCGCCCAACCAACCCTGGAGGTGATCAGTCAAAGCGCTTAGGACAAATTACTGGCAGTGGGTCACTCTCTATCCATCAATTCCTACAACAGAGGGGTGCAGTTGGGGTGCCAAGACTGAGTGTGGCCCCAGAAATCCTGAACTGCCACCACCCCCAACAGCCCCTCTAGGGAAAGTCAACTAATTATTGTTTTTAATATGGCTTGACTGGGTAACCACCATAAGAAGTCTTCATGAAGTCCTACAGCTGGAAGGAGTTTTGGAGACATGTGGTTGAACCCTTGTTCAGTGCAGGATGTTGTCGTAGCAGTAATATGCCCCGTGTAATACTATGTACTGATAATTAAACAATACCAAATTTAGCTTTTGCCTGGCCTTAATCCCCTAGTTCAGTGTTACTCAACCTTGGCAGCTCTAACCTTTAACCTTGGCAGCATGCTGGCTGGGGAATTACGGGAGTTCAAGTCCACACGTCTTAAAGTTGCCAGGTTTGAAAAACACTGCCTCACACCCTCTGTCCCAGATCAGGATCTCTTCCTAACTAACACTAGGGAATTACCTTGTGATCTGGGGTATTACAATAGTTTTTTGGGAAGTGATTGCCTTTCTTCCAAGTCTTCTGATCATTGTTGATGGGAGAATGAGGTTTCTATTCTTTTATTAGCATATTAAGCAACAGGTATTAAGATGGGGGTGGGGGAAGAGGCATTATGGTTTGATGGAATTCTTCAAGACAAAGCACAAGTGGGTGGGTGGAGTGATGAGTGGGCAGTGTATCCTGGACACATAAATGTCCATATCACCATCATCTTCATCACCATCTTACATAAACACATACACGCATTTGCACACATAGACATGCATTTAGGATCAGAATCAATGGCGGACTCCTCCCTCCCTCCCCCCCAAATGTTTCTGCTCAACCAAGGATTGGATCACTAGATTTTTTTGGTACAGTAAGATTGCTTGCTTACATGGTGGAAAAGGTGCCCAAGGATTTTATCTCATTTCATCAGGTGATCTATCCCCAACCATCCAGCTACTGGCTGATCATCTGGACAAGGTTCCCCAGCCTTTTTTGGGTCATGGGACATCTGCAGTATATGGGATAAATGGATATTAGGTACATTAACCTACCTACCTACCTACCTATCTTTCTTCCTTCCACTTACAGGTGGTGTGACGTGGGTGTACTCTCTAGCATCAATTCCAATATTAGCAATTTTAGATTACCTGTAAATGCACTGAAGACACCTCTCACTTGCCTTGCTGGACTTGCGCATGCACCCTTTTTTTATGTTTAAGTTATTTTCTTACTGTGCAATAAAGACTGTTTCCATGTTTGGTAATGAAAGAAATGTATGCAAAGAGGAAAAAATAATAGCGTGACCAAAGTGACAGAAAAATTTAGGAAGCGAGTCTCGCCAGGTATTTATTTATTTATTTTTTGTCAGTTGAACTAAGAGCCTTGCGCTGCAGCAGGAACGTCCACAGGGTGTAGTTCAGAAAATTCAAGATGCCAACTACGATGGTGCGATCAAATCTCTGCCTATTGTTCATGGGTGCGATGCACATAAAAAACAGTGGTGCTTTGATCACTCCATTACAGCCGCCATCTTGACTTTTTGGACCCCTCTGAACTGCAGGAAGATGTGACTACAGAATATGGCACTGAAGTTACTCTTCCCTGTCTTTGGCTTCTAACAACCAGCAGCCACTGAGAGAGAGACCTGCAACCTGGCCTTGTCTCTTGGCCTGCCATAACTGCCCATACCATTTGACAACTAGGTTACACTGTTCACACTGTTGCACAGGAATTTGGACAAGAGTGCAATTCTTCATCTGTTTTCCAATGGGAAACACTTTCAGAGAACTTTGTGTAAAGCTGACTGCAGTCGGGAATGAGCAACTTGTTCCCTGTTCTGTTAGGAAGTGAGAGAGGAGGAGGCACATCTCTCCCCACAAGACCTCTCTGGATGTGTTTTAGTCCAGACCCAACACTGCCAAAAAGCCCTAGATTTTGTTTGGTGGATGTCAAAAACCTGAACTTTTGACCAACCATGTTCTTGTTGTGGGTTCAAAGCAAATTTCCCATTTTGTGGCATCCATAATTGCAATTTTAAAGAAATTCCTGAAGGAAAGGGGCAATCTGAAGCAGGGGGTGCGCTACTGAAGAATAAAATTAAAAATAGACATTGGAAGAGGGAGGCCAAGGTTCTGCAATGGGCTGAAAAACTTTTGATTAGAATAAAAAAATAATAGCCGGTTCAATTATAGGTTCTTGTAGCGCATTAGGCCATAATGTGATTTGTTTGGTAGGAATCAGGGCATTATAGCTTGTTCAACAAACTATGGTTAAAATAAATCAGTACTGGACTCTTTCATTGGGGTTGGAGAAGGACAGGATGCAGAAAATTAAAATCCTATGATCATGGGTTTAAACAATGGAAAAAGTAAGTTAAGATAATAAACAGGCTCACACATCTCAGTTAACCACAGGTTGCTTAATCATGATTCACTAAATAAACCACACCTGAAAAGCACTAACCTGAAACTTGATTCTGAGTTAAAACCAGGCAAATTTTCTAGCTTAGACCAGAATGGATAAACTTGGACCCCAGAGCTTCATTTGCCCGCATCTCAAGATCTTGAGTGTCATCTCCAGTGACCACCAAGAGTTTTGGGAGTGAGGCCCCCATACCTCATTCAAAGGCCAGTTGCAGGATTCAGCCTCCCAAAACTGCACACCTCAGGCTTAGCATGTTCTGGGACCCGGCCCTAAACACTGATTTGGCTTTTATCAGTCAGACATGATCTGGCTTGCTTGGTGCATTATGTAAATCCAGCCAGTTGTAGTTTATGCCATCAACCATGGTTAAGTAACCCATGGCTTAGCCCTCTGTGTAAATGCAACAAATCCTGTAGCACCTTATACCCAAACTCTTTATTGCAAGTCAAGCATTTGTGGGTTAGTTTCCTTGGCTGGGCGTGTGTGGACATTGAAGGCATGAGCATGTCTGGGCATGCCTGCTTTACAGCAGCTGATTAAAAGATCAGCAATGATTCTCAGGAGACATGAAGTGATAGGCCTCCAGAGATGCTCACCAGGGATATCAGCTGCTAGAAAAGCTTTGAAGTCGTCTTCAGGGGAGTTCAAGAAAAAAAAATAAACCATTGTAGATTTTTTCAGGATTGCTAGTTCTGGAATCCTGAATTGGACCAACCTTGTCCTCAGATATATTTCCAACTTCCTGGTCCATCCTTCTCCATCCTTGGAAGATTGCAATCTTCCAAGCACATGCAAATGCTGTTAATGCCAAAAATGATTCATGTGTATGTTCTAGTGAGCCGTGGGCTTACAGTCCCATTCCAGGAGATGTATAGCAAGGACCATGCAATGCAACTGTAGACTTTGGGGTGTTGAGTTCAAGGATCCTTCCTCCTAGAGAAATGGGTTTGCCCCTGTTGCATAAATCCATCTATCCCATACAAATACTTTAGTGGCTGAGAAGGCAAGGATGTGCCCCGTAGCAAAGAAGGACTGAAGAAGATCAGCAAATTGTACAATGCTGTTTGTCCAGATCACCTGACTGGCATTTTCACAAGTCAGGAAACGTTGCTCAGCATGGGGGAGAGGGGAATTCCATTGTCTCTCATTGTGTGCAGTAAGAGGAAGCAACATTCTGTAAAAAGAAGAGCAATCCCTGACTTTCTTCAACCCCTGGCAAGTGGAAGGATCACACATCTGAAGCACGATCTTGTGTGTTTATATACTTGCATCTTTATGTAAGTATATTATATCAATGCTGACTCCGTCGGATAAAGATCAGCAGAATTTTGCAGATCTTCCACAGAACCTTACCTTGGCTATTGATGCAGCCCTTTTCCTCCAGCCTAGTTGAAAGGTAGAGTAAATCAGATCACACTCCCATTTAGATCCTTGCCAAGCTGCAACAGAAGGTTGTCTGCCTACAGATGCCGGATGGCAGGCAAACCCCAAAATATTATGGTTGTGATCCATCAGCACCAATTTGACTGCTTTGAAGCTGCATGAGGACGTCACAGACGCTGCCTCTGCATTCTGTCCAGGAGACAATGATCTCTTGGACCAAGGGCCACATGCTGGCTTTTAACTAATATGTTGGGGGATTCCCCTCCCCAAAATGCATAGGGCAGGACAGAGCAAAACCCAAATTTGAATCTATTTCCTTTGTGGTTCCATTGATTAAAACAGAGTACAAACAAATCATCATATCTTTAAGACAATTCCCTTTCTTAGGCGTGTCCATAGGAGTGGGGTCAAAAAGTCAAGATGGCAGTCGCAACTGCATGATTACAACCACCATCTTGCCTCTTTTGACCCCTTCGTGGATGTCCCTCCAGTTGCTTAGAGAGGTGGGTAAAAGCATTTCAAAGAGACTCTGGATCAACGAAGCAGGGAAATTTTTGTTACAGTTTTCCAAGATTCTGTGCTTACCCCAGATAGCCTTACTGAAATCCATGTCATTCTTGTTTCCTTGGTCTTGCCAGCTACATGGGATTTGACAAAATGGAAAAGCATATCCTCTATTGTTGAGTTGTGGACTTCAGTAGCTCCCATTGCAATGAGCTATAGCAAATCTCCCAATCGCTAGGGAAGTACAATAATCTAAACGGGTGAAATCTAGAACCCCCACAAATCTAGTGTGACTGAAGGATGGAGAGACCAAATTTCAAGAGTCCAGCTGTAATTGTGTATGTTTAAGCCAGCAGCCTTGAAGGACTGAGATTCAGTTGCAGAGTGAGTTAAGCTTTGCCTGGGCATCACGCAGGAAGGAAATCTAAGATCGGTTCAATCTGCATCTTTTAAATAGGTCCCTTTGAGTAGATCCTGCAAATGTTGAAAACCCTGACCCTAAACCAGTGTTGTCCAAACTTGGCCACTTTAAGATGAGTGGACTTCAACTCCCAGAATTCCCCAGCCAGCAGAAGTCCACTCATCTTAAAGTGGCCAAGTTTGGACAACACTGCCCTAAACTATTCTCTTCCCCCACCCCAAGGAAACAGCATCTCAAGGTCATCTTTAGCTTGCCATTCAGCAAAGGGGATAAGCAACATGGTGAAGGGCTGGAGGAGCAACACAGAGCAAAGTCATTTACCTCTGCTATGATCAATCCAAGGAGACAGAGGATCAGGCCAGCTAAGCTCAGCTGGATGATATTGGGCACCGTATAGTCTCTGCCAAGGGCTGCCTTCACCAAAGAGACAGGAGCTGCCACGTCTGCTGCAGAGGAGATGTTTGACATGATCACCACCGTGATTTTCTCAGCAATCAGGAGGCAAAAGAAGCAGGAGAAAGAAGTCGTGGAAGCCTTCCATGAGGAGTGTCCCAAGCTGCAGGGCTGGCCAACAACCAGCAGCTGGGAACTGCAAGGAAGCCAAGTTTAGTGAAAGATGAGGAGAAACTTCCTGCAGTGAGAAGAATGGAACTGACTGCCTCAAGAGGTGACTGGATCAGCTTTGCTGGAGACATTTAAGCAGAAGCAGGCAAAGCTATCTGATGCTGAAATGACATCCTGTGCGTCAAAGTTTGGATGGAGAAGGACTGTGCCAATAGGTCTTATTCTCCAATCAACAAATGTTGGAGTCCAGTCTGGTCAAGAAATACAATGACCGAGCTTTCGACACACCAGAGTTCTCATGTTCACAAAGATGTAGTGCACAACTTAATAATATTGTCCTCTAGCTATTTTAGTCCTTGCTGGAGAACTCGGTAAAATATCTAACATTGCGTCATGCCCACTCCAGGCCAGAAGAGAGATTTAACATCCTGTAAAAATGGAATGTCAGTGAGGACACTCCCATGTGAGGCTGTTCAGATTTGGCTGAATGATACTATTTCCCAGGATTCCTTGCAACTGGCCAGGCTGGCAGGGGCTGCTGGGAGTTGTGACTGGGCAACATCTGGAGGGCAGCAGGTTGTGCTTCCATATTCTAGTTAAGGTTAGGCTACCACTTCCTGGTGGAAACAAGAGAATCATAAGGGTTCACAAACCATGGTTTCTGGAGTGGCTGGTTCTGTACAGCAAGCTAAGCCATGCACCATGGTTTGGGAGCCACAATGGTTAGGTTCCCACGTTTTGCTACGATAAAACGAAGTAAGCTACATTTTAGCTCAGTCTGATATATGAACCTAACCAAATGATAAAAGAAACTTTTAAGATAACGTGAATTGCTATTAGGGAGAAATTGAAAAAGAGGGCCCTCTGCCACACCTTTATAATAGTTTAGGCAGCAGAGGGAATTTCCCTCGGCGTGGTTGGCATGGAAAACTATTCCTATTGAAATTCCCTCCCTTACTCCACTATTAGAAGTACAGAAATCCTGACCCTTTTTGCATATAAAGATCCAAAGAAGTCGGAAGCTTGTTCTTCTGAGGTAAAACAACACAACATTTTTCAGAAAGTGTTTTTTTGAGGAAGTTGAAAGTTGGCCTTTTCTGCCCTTGGATTGCGCCCTTGGTGGAACTCCCAGTGAGTAAAACGTCAGAGCTTTCGGCTCAGAAAGACTGAAAATGACTAAGCGTAATTGCCCGTTCAAGTTGCATCTGACCCACTTCCAGTCAATCTTTATATCCGCATCAGAGCAAGCCCACCCGCCATTCTGTCCAGCTAGCAAGAAATTTGCTTGATGTTTCCTCATTAAACATCAGCAAAGATCAAAACAGCTAACTGGCAAAAATGGGAGAAAATGAAAGCAAAAGCAGGGAGGGAGAAAACCATAAATATCAGGCAACAATTTACATCAGTGGTTCTCAACCTCAGCAACTTTAAGATGTGTGGACTTCAACTCCCAGAATTCCCCAGCCAGCAAAGCTGGCTGGGGGATTCTGGGGGGTTAAGGCCAAACAACTTTAAGATTCTTAGGTTGAGAAACAATGATGTAAATTGTTGCCTGATATTTATGGTTTTCTCCCTCCCTGCTTTTGCTTTCATTTTCTCCCATTTTTGCCAGTTAGCTGTTTTGATCTTTGCTGATGTTTAATGAGGAAACATCAAGCAAATTTCTTGCTAGCTGGACAGAATGGCGGGTGGGCTTGCTCTGATGCGGATATAAAGATTGACTGGAAGTGGGTCAGATGCAACTTGAACGGGCAATTACGCTTAGTCATTTTCAGTCTTTCTGAGCCGAAAGCTCTGACGTTTTACTCACTGGGAGTTCCACCAAGGGCGCAATCCAAGGGCAGAAAAG